ACAGGGGGGGGGGGGTGTCCTGTAGTTCACAGAAGACATCTTGGAAAGCTGATAACATTGTTTGAGATTTCACTCATGGGAAGCTACAGGGACACTAGATTTCTGGCAGGATCAACCGGTATTTTTCTGTAGCTGCAGAAAATGTACGAATTTAGCCTGAAAACAATAACTAATGCAGACGCCACATCTAGAGATTGGTAATCTGCAACATGTTACATTTTTGTTCTTGGGTTCAGACACTGAAAGCATCATAGAAAGAGCCAGCTTATATGTTTATATGCAGTACGGGGGCTCTGCAGCCTCTCCACGTCCATGCCGCCTCTTACCTTTACAAGCCAGGGGGGAGCTGATGGGCTCAGTGTAATCTCTGTAGTAGCCGGCATGGCATCGCTGGCAGCGGTACCCCTCCGTGTGGTGCTGGCAGTTCTCGCAGACCCCTCCGCTCGTATTCCCCGAAGCAAGCCAGAGGCTGTGGTCCAAGCGGCAGCTGAGGGCGTGATTGTGACAGCGGCACCCTGCGAGTGACGGACCACATGGACAAATTAGAACTTAAAGAGACCCTGTCACCGGCTCGAACAAAATGCATATCGTCCATGCTCTCTGCACTCACTCTTGCACTCGTTGGGCGCTCCTGTTTTCCCGTCTCCGGGCCTCCATGGGTGGTCATTGTACAGGGGGGCACATTTCTCACAGTGGTCTCCGGCTGTATTGTGCTGACAGATACATTTACCGGGAACCTGAAAAAAAGAAAAGTTGTATGTGATCTGCCCCAGAATGAGCTTTGCCGTCACCACATCTAGTCTGTCCTCAGACCGATTATTGGATCAGGTTACAGAATAGGTGCTGCAGATGTTAGACACTGACAGGTACTCTTTAACATCAATGTGCAGATATCCAGAGATCTATTTCTTCCTTGATCACATTTGTAACATTTGTATCCATTATATTTAATTACATTATACGTCATGTTTCTGCACTTTGTTGCCTGCCTTTGACCCTGCCCACCTTTCAATAACTCACTGGCTTCTATGGAGTATTAATAGACAGGAAGCTGAATTCACCCTAGCCCAACCCTTTCCAACTGCGTACAGTGTAGCTTGCATCCACCTCTGAAGAGATGATCTCTCCTTGTGCAGGGTGACTGGTCTTGCTTCCGCCCCCTCCTGTAATAAAGACCGCTCACTGCTGCTCTCTCTCCTTGTGCAGGGTGACTGGTCTGGTCTCTGCCCCCCCCCCCCCCCGTAATAAAGACCGGTCACTGTTTATCTCTGTCCTTGTGCAGGGTAACTGGTGTTGTCTCTGCCACCCTCCAGTAATCAAGACCGGTCACTGCTGCTCTCTCTCCTTGTGCAGGGTGACTGGTCTGGTCTCCTCCCTTTCCTGTAATAAAGACCAATCACTGCTGCTCTCTGTCCATGTGCAGGGTGACTGGTCTCGTCCCTGCCCCCCTCCAGTAATCAAGACCGCTCACTGCTGCTCTCTCTCCTTGTGCAGGGTGATTGGTCTTGTCTCCGCCCCCTCTCTGTACTTTTCTGCAAACTGCTTGTAGTGGGTGTAGCAAGCTAGTCTCTCCCACAGCTCTGCTCCCTGGCTATGTACAGCACAATGATGATGATGATGTCATTTCTACTTTTACCAGGTCATATCTGGATGTGCAAAGTCTGGCTATTGACGAAGATATTGAAATGGAAGTTTTTCAGCTTTAATGAAATCTGCAGATTTTGGATGACATTAAAATAAAGCTGTCATGAGATTGCAGTGATTGGCTATGCCTCTGCTATAATTGTTACTTGTATCTCTTTGATTATTCTGATTCTTGATATTTGGGATAAAAACAAGGAACGTCCCTGTGAATCGGCCCCATAGGAGATCAGTTCCGGACGCCCATTGTTCCCTTCCATTCTATTAATCTGCA